TATCAAAAAACCATTTTCCCATAGCATTTCATTTGTATTCCCACCCAATTAATATATTTAAAAAAATTCCAGTTCTAAAAGCAATTGAACAGGTTTAGAATCTCAATATAACTATTATCTCATTTAAAATTAAAACAATCCAGTTTGAGGAGAACCAGAATCTCAACACCAATGAACATGCATAAATCTATTACAAATTTAGAAAAACCCTGATTTCAAGTTGATTACCTATTTACCTTCTAGTGGATGATCCTTTGAGACTCTTGATGTGTTACCCGAATATGTGTCTGCTGCCCCCCTCAAGTACCTTAATCTTTGCACCGATCATTTCCTTTTCTCTACCGTCCACATTTTCATTCTTGAAACTAAACACAACAATTCAGAAAAAATAAATCCATGAAAGAAGGTAAAGTAGGTTACATTACATACTGAAGGGACCACTTTAGATGATGGGTTTTCTCTCTAATCTCATATCTCTCACTCACGACAGTTGTAGTTTCTGCAAAAACATAGTATATATCATTTTTGTAATTCACAACAATGTATTTTTCATACTCATGACATTCATTACAAAAAATCATGTTGACAACAAAGTGTGCCCATTTAATATTTAAGCAATCGATTGCTTGATGAATCTCACATACAAGCTAACATGACATCGGGATTGCCATCTTAATTCTACATTATTACCCCGTGGGATTCACATCAGAAATGAGAAAAATCTAATCGTCATGAAACTAACCTTAAAAACTTTTTTATGGAAATAAAACTGAAATAACCTTAAGAACAACATGTCATGTTGATGCTCATACCTGAATAGCCCATCCAAAATTTACATACACAAGGATTCAAGATAACCCAATCATCATATAATTAGGTTAAAAACATAAAATGGTATTTTCTAAATCAATAAAAAATTGAAATTATAGAAATAATGAACTGGGTGAGGGAAAGGTAACAATGTATTACTTGAATAGTCCCACTTCTTCCTATATGAAAATATTTTTAGTAAAAAACCAATTATATTACATAAAAATTCAGAATGAAAAAGAGTAAAGGCGAAGAACCTTAAGTAAAACTCCAAAAATAAGAATCTTGAATGGATCACAACCAATATAACAATTATCTCTAATCATAACCCCCCCCCCCCACCCAAAAAAAATCAAAACAATGTAAGATAGTTCTTTATTTACTGGACCATCTAAGATATTGACATTAGGGTGTGAATTAGAACCCGCCCTTAAAAATATATGTTTTTTTTAATGAAATACATAACATGATGGTAGATAGTGTTATATCTAGATGCTTGCAAACATATGTAGATAAGACACTTGTTTCTTGAACGAGTGGATTGTTTCTACATAGAAACAAAGAAATCAGTATTCAAATATATGTCAAAAAGATTTACTATTTTTCCAATCACAAAATTTCATTTGGCTTAATCTGTTGGGTCCCTTATATCAACGTTTTGCCATTCTGCGACCTGTAAACACACATACACACAAATTCAAGATTTCGTAGAGGGACACAAAAGGGAAAGGAGAAAGAAATATAGGGTGGAGGTTTTTAGCGAGAGACAGCTAAGGAGAAAGAGAGAAACGATTGTGACAGGTTCCTCAATGTAAGGCTGAAGTTCAAGCAAATATATAAGAGTAGTAGTCTGTGGGACCACAAGAGAATTAGGGAGAGAGCATTGATTATTTGGGGCCGAGTTTGAATTGTGATCTTGAATTTAACTCCCGGAAAGAAAAAGAGAATAAAGTGGTGTTGTTGTCTAAGACATGGTAGAGGTGTCGAGCGTTGTTGGTGGCGATGATCGGTGGTTGAATGCAAGAAGAGGCGTTAGGAGTGAGGGAGTGGATCTTCCATTGACAACACATAAAAGACTCATGGATCGTCTGCTACTTTTGCATCGGCACAATCATCAAAATAATCTCATTTCTTGATGTAAAGGGAGGATGAAACTGGTGGTGGAATGCGGTTACTAGTTAGGGTTTGTCAAAAATGAGATAGCGTAAGGGCGGTGAGACACGTCGTATATAGGAAGGAGGTGATATTTGAGATATCTCTAATCTCTACTATATATTAAAACAGAAACCTTATGACATTATCTTAAACAATCGGGCCCTTTGATTGCATTTCATCCCTATCTTTTCCACCTTTAGATATTTTGCCGATGTCACCCCTTACTGGATTTAATTCCAATAATATTTAATATCTTCTAATCCATTACCTTTTTGAAATAGAATGTATTTAATTCCAATAAAAACATACCAATTTTAAAAAAAAAGTTATGTCATTCATTTTTTAAATCTAAGCCCATTTACAGGAATTGTTAATTGTGTGTTTAAATTTAATTTCTTCCATAGATCTTTGATCTTAGCAAATTTCGAGTGTTGGAATTTTAAAAATTCAGGATTTTGCGTTAACTGAATTTATGTTCCACTTTAGCCTTTATTATAATGCAAAATACAGAGATTGAAACTTGAAAATCAAATTCATTTCTTCGTTTTCTTATATATGGAATTGAAAAGGAAGTTGAATTAAATTATCGTGGGTAATGTAAACTTCGCACAGTAACATTATTGAACAATGTAATTGTGATATTTTTGCTTGAACAAGTCACTTGATGATTTGCAGAATATAGACAAAGTAGGTGATACATTATTTTTTTGCAGGAAGGATTCCATTTGCTTTTCTTGAATACATTCATCAAAAAAATTTCAGGTTTTATGGTCAAGCAATATTATCAGCCCAGGCTTATGGCATGAATGATGAATTTTCAAGTGTTCTTAACCAACAAATAGAGTATTACTCAAATGATCCTAATGTAGATAGGATAAACCGTATAAAAAGTTAAATGATCCACATCAGCAACTTCTTCTTCTTCTACAATTTAAATCATATACTTCTAATCATTTCTGCATATATTTAGATCCCCCATTAATCAGTTATTCTAAACCATTTAAGATTTTATAATTGTAACGTCCTGTAAATCTAAAAATTATCAATTAATTTGAAATTTTAAATCCATATAATTGATATCTTTCTTTTTTCTAGCTAAATATCCGAAAATATCCTATATGATATCTTAGGATCCCTACTTGTTTTGGAAAGAATGGTTTCCTTATATAAAAACACCTATATATACGATTGCATTCAAGTTGTTATTCTCACGATTTTGGATTGAGGAATATGATTTCCAGTGGTCTTCTTCTGAAAAAAAAATTTCAGGTTCTTTCTTTACTCTGATCTCCTTCTTTTTCTCCAATTTCTTGCATTTACTGTGTTCTTATTACCTGTTATCACCATGTATTCCTGTTGAGAATTCATGAAAAACATTAATCAACATTCTTTAAACATCTTACTTTCTGTACTCCTTATGTGAACGTTCCCTACTCCAGCAAGTAAAAATCCAGTAATGGTGTCCTACATTAGATTTAAACTATTATTATAAGAATATTGAAAAGCATCAATATTCTTAAATTGATAAATTAACCTTGGCATACTGCATACAACATTAACATGGAATTGGAAATAGTATCGATTCTATAATACATTATAGCCTAAATTACAATTTATATTCTCAAGCTATGTTCTTAAAATATGATGTTTTTTAAATTTTTTCAAATTAACCATGGCTATGTGTTTACAACATTAACATGGAATTGGAATTGACACTAATTACGGAAATGTTATTTTTATATAGGGATATATACACTAAAGCCCCAATATTTTCATCGATTTGACAAGAAAGTCCTAAACTTTATTTTTTTTGACAGTAAAGTCCAAATTACCGGTAGTTTTTGTCACTTTCACCATTTTTTCCTGGTTAGCCGGTAATTAGGACTTTTTTGTCAAAAAATAAAATAAAGTTTAGGACTTTCTTGTCAAATCGTCAATTAGGACTTTATTGTCAAAAAAATAAAGTCTACGACTTTCTTGTCAAATCGTTGAAAATAATAGGACTTTAGTGTATATCTCCTTTTTTTTGTTAGAAATTTAATGGTAGTATACTCTTTAAGTATAAGAGTTATTAAAATCTTCTCTAGTCAGCTAGATCCTATTGAAATCCTTAACATTTGCTTCTCGTTAAATCGTTTTTTTAATCTCAACAAACCAACATTGAAAAAAATGGAGATAATCAAAAAGAAAGAAAGAACGAGGGTTGTGTTGGCTTTTTGCAGTCCCAAAAATGGAGAAATAAGAAACTGAACCCTGGTTCTTTCTTTCTTTCTTTCTTGATTATCTCAACTTTTTTCAATGTCGGTTTGTTGAGATTAAAAAAACGATTTAACAAGAACCAAACGTTCAGGATTTCAATAGGATCTAGCTGATTAGAGAAGGTTTTAATAACTCTTATGCTTAAAGAGTATTATACCATTAAATTTCTAACCAAAAAAATTTATATATACACTAAAGTCCCAATATTTTTAACGATTTGACAATAAAAGTCCTAAACTTTATTTTTTTTTACAGTAAAGTCCTAATTGACGATTTGACAAGAAAGTCCTAAACTTTATTTTTTTTTGACAAAAAAGTCCTA